CGCTCGAGTGTATCAACTAGCAGTCTCACCATAGTAGAGCACTCAGTTGATATTGTCCTTCTAGATGAGTGCGCTTACCAAAACACACTCGTCTCAGCCATCTGAACAGCACTTTTGTTGTTGTTCTTCATAAGCAACTCACTCATCTAAAATCTAAGATGATGGTGCATGGTTGGTCAACACTGACTCTTATCTTAAACGTAGATAGGGTAAATAGTTTTGGAGTGTCTTCACTCAATTAGGAAACTGAATCAGCTGGAACAGGCTTTCTGATGATGAGATCTCTGAGCGAATATTAAAGGTTCTCGTGAAATGTGGCAATTTGGGTTATCTCTTACATGTAGACGTGCTATCCGGTCATCTATCAAATGATGTGGGGACAGCTTAACGATGCATTCTGTCTCCATCATTGATGAAACGCAGCTGCTGCAAGTGGAATATGCTCGTCGCCTATGCGTCGGTGGCACATCGGTTAGGACTCTCGCCGACCATGCACATGGTCCAGGGTTCGATCTTCAGTCGACGCACACCTATGGGTGTCACAGAGTGTGGCAATGTGAACTGTCGCACTCCTGCTCCATGTTCTACAATGAAAACGTAGCATCTCATCGCTCCGTACGTTTATATAAGTCTTGTGGCTTTTTTGGAGCGAGTGTATAAGTCATAGCTAAACAAACTTGCTGCGCTTTTCTTCCATCCTACCTGAATGAGTAGAATGGAAGTGGCCAATTTCCATGTGTATTTCCTCGGTTGATTGGGCTTATGTGATTTTGTAACACGCCGCATGGGAAAAAAGTGGTCATATCAGATGTTACGTTTGCCTGTTTTAAAGGATTTCTGTCTACACTGTCCGGAGCTGATATATCTATCATAGTGTTCGCAAGGCATGAAGGCACCTCGCGACAGCTTTTATCCTCTCTCTTATTAAGGAAGATCAAAACATGCTCCACATGTTCATACAATAAATTAGGTTTGGCCTTATTCAGCTTTCGTTCTTCCACGATATATTGCATATTTGTTACCTGATAATCGACTAGTTAATACAGCGATTATCTTCAAAAATTTTATAAAGTTGACTCTAACTTGGGGCCGATTTTAAAGTGGTTAGGCCTGACGATTTTTCTGAAAGCTCTAAAGATGGTAATAATAAATAAGCTTTGGAGAGGGCAACTATGAAACGGCCTTCTTTTCTGTTACTACTTATCCATGCCCAAATGTCAGCCACGGCTCCAAGAACCTCAACACACAACACGGTGTCCTCTCCCACTTCAAAAGAAGCCGGTTAGCAAAGCATGAGAACTCGCTAGGGGAACCGAAAAACAGCTGCACTCAACAACGTAGGCCCTAAGAAAATCACTCAGTGTATCATTTCAAATCTTTCCTGTAACAGTTTCTGACAGATAGCTTTGAAATAGAAAACGACTGCAAAAGAATAATAACGAAAACTCATGAAATAATTAGAGTGGTTAGAATGAACTGATATGACAGTAGAAACTCCCAAAAAACTTAAATAGCCACCAATAGTAGAATAGAAAACTAATTATACGTGGAAAAATTCCACTATAATTTAGCGTTAACAATTGCAGCGACACAAAATTCCATCCTATTTAGTCTACGAAGATGGATGAAGATAACCTTCACATGGACCTTAAGTCTGAAATTTCGTTGTTTTCCAATATTTTACTGGGACTTTTTCGGTTGACGAAGGACTTTTGCCACTACGCAAGGTACTCTCTATGCAAATGTGAGCATTCAACCTACAACACCTAAGGTATTCGTTCTGTGGAACCAGGGATGAATTGATGGTCCAAAATGTTAAATATATTTCTAGGTCATAGTTATACAATGATGGCGGTGTCCCAGCTACCAAAGGATAGTTGACGAACAACTCAACACAGCACAGCATCACGCCAAGCGACACCGGATCTTGACTGCATAACTTCAGCTTTATCAGCTGACTTAAACACTAAGGGGGAATGCTGTAGGCTAATAAATCTGATGAATTATTTACGATTACCGCCCACTCCTTCCAACTGGAAGGGTCGTTGGGGCCTTCAGGTGAAACCAGACAGAATTTTGAGGCCGATAGCAGTAACATTAACAAAGTTTTTCGCATATGCGTGACGACTGCAAGCTGTATCCTGTTCATCTGCTTACTCTAACGTGATTTATTTACATGCGCTCTCTAATGTTCGTCAGTTGGCTCGGAATTTATTTTCTTATCGTCCAGTGGCTGTAGCACCTGGTAAGAGGGGCGAAAATTCTGGGAAATCTGTCAAAGTATCTCCTAAAAACAGTGGTTAAATTAAGACATACACAGACTGAATACATCTGCCCCGAAACCATAAACACAGTTTTTCCACTATCTAGTTATAGGGCTTGTGTGTCAGTGATTACTCATTGAATGCGTAGCTCTACTGTTCAAAGCAATATGACAACTGCTTTTAGTTTGGCTATATGAAATACGGCAGCGGAAAGTCAGGTTAGGCTTTGATATCTTTACCGCGGTGATTTTAGCACGTGTTCAATGCACTTATCCTAGTACCGAAAGTTTTTTGGGTTCGTATCAAGCGCCGTGTAAAACTATATTTCCAACATGGGTCCCATTGTATCCACACATTGGATCGGAGATTATTGTGCGGCTCTTGAATACTGAACAAACAGTTTTTTGTAGAGAAGAAATTAGGTCCAGGTGGTGTAGACTTTGCGATGTAGCAGGCTTTTGCTTCTCCTACACCTAGAAATAATAGATTATGTGTAGTGTGCAAATGTTATGTAGATAACACTAGATTTTTCATGGAATCCGTGTTTCGTTGGGAAAATTCACCTAGAAGTTAGAGTAAATGTGTTTAAGTGCAGGACTCCACTGTTAATGGTATAAGTGGCACTTAATAGGCATTATTCATACTGCATGGCTTATTCGGCTTGGATATGTGTGAACCGTTCTTATAGAGCCCGACAAAGAAGGCTGTTGGTGAAGACATATTCTGTTCCACGCTAAATCACGCACTGGAAATGGCTAACATAAATGAGGGAGCGCAGGGCAACACCCTGGATCATATGAGTCTATGTGGTGGGTTGATATTAAACAATCTTATTACTTGGAAGTGGAACTCTAAGAATGATTCGAGACAAGATAACAGTATTTTGGAGGCCATGCAACTATGGTTTATGGGCTAATGTTATGTGTGGGAATTCATTGATGCCTCCTTGAAGCGGGGAAGGTGGTTAAAACAAACAAAACACGAACCTATCTGGTACTATCACCACCAAAGTAGTCTAGTCAGTAAATGAGGTATAACCTACATTTCAAGAAGTCGTTTTGTGTCAGGTAAACACCTTGCCACCGTAAGGGTACAAAGCAGTGTTTTTCCCTGTGACATTTGTCACAGTTCTGAAAAATTCCGACGCGACACTGATGAATCGACATTTTTCTATATTAAATGCACTGAGGAACATACAGATCTCTAGGATGTGCCAAAAGGATTTAGAAGGATGTATGCTCGCAAACTATTTTCAACAGAACAGATGGGGTTCCAACAGGGTCAGTATTAAATGACGTACGGAGTGGTACTGTAGCTAGCAAAGTTTCTCATGATGTCAACGTAATATTACTCAGTTGTCAGCTGGTGATATTATCGTATTAATACCACTCATTTTATCTTCATTATTAAAGAATCTAGTAAGGCGGGAGCTGAATAACGTGCATACATCATGCAGACCATCGTAGAATTTACCTTCTTCCACTGTCCAGTGATGGATGCCTAGCATCCATACGATTGGGTTGTAGATAGGTTTTCGACTCTTGTTAAATGGTTGCAGATGGTTGATCAGGCTTAAATGTTTCACAAGTATATCTGAGTGTGACAAGTGACGAGAAATTATTAAAACCGTAAAAATATCTAGCATGCTTACAATTTTGTATTAACCTGAGGTGTATCCTGATATTGAAAACCAGACGGTTCGAACCATGAAGTGGGAACTGCGACTGGAGAGGAGGCCGAAGTTGAAGTTTAATGGTAAACTGTCGGGAAAGGCATCAGTATCGAGTAGAGTACCACAGAGTAGTGTTCCGGGCCTCCTGTCATACCTAATATACTACTTGGAATTACTACCTCATATTCATTATTATTCATGCACGATATCAAGATCTGGAAAACCAAAAATAGTGGTAATAATGGGTCAGTTTGCTAAACTGCATGATCAGACTCTTGGACTTTGAAATTTATACCAGAAGATTACTAGTGCACTAAAGTCACAGGTCTCTCACGTAGTACTCCCTGGGGGATACGAAACTGCCTGAAGTCAAGGAGCTTTAGGACTTGGAAAATATTATCACTCATGATTTGTAAATAAATTCAGATTGTAACTCAGCTGCCCTTAAGGCTTTTCGAAGAGCTTTCTATCATTGAGTTGAGTCTGTTTAAAATACCTTGAGCAACACGTCAGGCTTCACATAGAAGTGTTTACAAGCTACTAGTCCGTGATTTAAGGGGGAGGCAGGAGTCTTGGAAAGAGCGCGGGAAAAGAAAGTGAATAACTCACTTTTGTCTGCCACCTATCTCACGAGAAAAGGATGAGACATTTATCATACCGACGGAGAGGACATAACTTAATTCCGTCATGTCGTAGATCAAAAGAAGGTTGGTTATCGACCCTTCTATCGTCTGCTCCCCTTCTAGTATACGTTTCTGAAGTCAGTACAGAAAGATGTTCAAACTATAGTAGGATAAAATACGTGGTGATTTTAGGTTCTCACACAGAGTGGTCAGTGACTGTAACTGCCTACGCGATTAAATATTATTAGCCCTATCAGTGAACTCTTTGAGACACAGAATAGGTCTCTACAGAGATATATATCACAAGAAGTAATATAGGCTACAAGGGCCTACTATCCCGTATTATCTCTACCTTGACAACTTAAATAGTTGGCGAAATACACCCATTAAGACATTGAAACTAACTAAGACATTGAACTAATTTGTTCTTATTTAAATAGTTGGCGCTTTTCAAAGTGGACGGTACAGGTAACTGAGGCGTGACTCGAGGAGGTAGTTAATGCACTTCAGCAAGTGGGAATAATACACATTTCGATGCTGTCATTTTCTCCAAATTCTCTATTTGTACTAATTTAATGGTACTGAAACTACATGAATGGAATTTATAGCCTTAATATTATATAGTTAGCTGCTGTTTGTATTTGGATATATATATGTATATATATATATATATATCCACAGAATATTCACTATACTGACATACTTCAACGTCTCTGTTAACTAAACGTTAAGGAACTTTCTCTTACCTTGGACTATGCACTCTGTGTATGGAAACATTCATTCCACCCCCTCTGTTGGGAATCACTCAAGGAAATAAACACGGTGTTCCAAATGATATCAAAATGGATATTGAATATTTACATGCTTTAAAGTCGATCCTTACTAAATTTCCGCAAAAAGAATGTAACTAGCACAATTATTTTCATAATACCCATAATACCATCAATTATTACTTGACGGATTTCCGTTTCATTTCACTGTCGGTAACCCTGGTATCACGGCAGTCATTTTGATATTAAACGCTGAAGTTAGTATTTACTTTGTTTGCTTTTGTGGTAGAGACAATACTTTGCGTCATTGCCATGTCTGCTGAATTACATATGCATATATTGTCAATCGTCTTTGTTTGATCTTAGATGATTCAGGGTACTAGACTATTTTCTGGCTAGTTCAGTAGATCATGATTTAGAATGCTTTGTTTCATCAAGTTCGAATTTATACTGCAATAATGGCTGGCAATCATTCATTATTATTATCGTTGTAAATGTAGTGTATTCCTTAAACCAAGAGTGCCTATTGTAAATAAATCATAAAATATCCACTGGCGTTTCAATAGGTAAATAAGTTTACTTATTTCTTTGGCTTTTGGCATACTAGAACTAGAGTTCGAAACATAATTATGTTGTGTATTCATTTACTCAGTTCTTAATTACTTGCGCTATCAGCACTCACCATGTATCTGTTTCTCATCCACGTCAGTTTAATATACTGTTTCACATGCTGCGGTAAATAATTCCATGAAAGTAGCATTACTTCATCAAGTAGTAAACATACTGCCATTTTAGATAAATATTATAGATCTTTTTATGTAAGTCTCTTGTTTAAATGTGGTGTCGCCGTGAATACCATGAGTCTTAGCGTTAAATAATACTTATTCACTAGTTTAACGATTTATTCTTTTCTTCTTCAGGTTGATATTACGGTCATACATCAGTCTGTGTAACTGCACGCTATCAGTTCTGACAATCGACACCCTTCGAGATAATGTTGTATTTAATAGGATTGGGGTTAGGCTCATTTTCAGATTTGACGATCAAAGGTTTGGATGTACTCAAAAAGTGTGACTATGTGTACCTTGATAGTTACACTTCTATATTCTCTGAAGAAAATATCAATGAACTAAAGATAGCTGAGAAGTGTATATTCCCAGCCGATCGAGAATTTGTAGAACAAAGTAGTGAAATCCTTGATCGAGCGAAGGAGCATGACGTTGCATTCCTAGTTATAGGTGACCCTTTGGGAGCAACTACTCATAGTGGTTAGTGTAAAATAAGTTAATATTGTTTAGATATTATATTGCGAGCTGTTGAAAGAAATATTCCCTACCAAATAATTCACAATGCCTCAGTTATAACAGCAGTGGGATGCTGTGGCCTGCAGCTGTACAATTTTGGTATTACTGTATCAATTCCTTTATGGGATGAATTTGGGCGTCCAGAGAGTTTTTTTGACAAGATACTGAAAAATTTGAGGAATGGATTCCACACTTTGTGTTTGCTGGATATAAAGGTAATATGGCCAAAATGATTCTTTTTCTATATATAGCATTTACTGTTAGATATTTACTATATTAGATATAATGTTTCTATGCTCTTTAGGTTATTCTTATCAGTGTATAACTCAGTCTAATATATCCCAGTAGCACTTTGCAATGCAGCCTTTATGGTAATATTGTTTAAGTGTAAATAAGTGCAATACATTTCCTAAATTAAACATAAATCCCTATCTTCATCTCCCTCCTACACAGAAATCAAATATTGATATATGGAAGTAATTAAGACAAAATTTACTGTCCCCTGTAAAAAGCACCCAGTCCTGTTCCATTCAGACACAAAAATTTTGAATGCGCAAATAATATAAAAGCCTCACATCAGTCGTATTTTGTAATACTAGATTTTGATTTTTTGATTATAGCTTGAAACCACACAGTATTTTTGGTACAAGTATGGAATTTTCAGCATGTGATATCGTTAGCCCAAATTTTGCAGGCCGACCATAGATATCAGGTGTGCGTCTGCAGGTGGTCGAACCCCGGACCATGTGCATGGTCGACGAGAGTCCTATTCACTGTGCCACTGACGCATATTTAGGGTTTGCTGGATCAGTGAGTTTTCCCACACTAGTATCTCAAGTTGGTGTTGTTCGAGGTGTTCAATCATAACATTGTATATTCTTGTGTTTAAACGGTATCCACGATGGTGAAAGTTAAGCAAGTGACACATCCAATGCTTAATTTCTTCATTTAGCCAGTATTCTGTAGCTTTGGAAATATTTTTCGGTGACGTTGGAATTGTTGAATAAAGCATACTCTCTTCTATAACTTCGGCAGAATAATAATCATCGAAAAATCTCTTTCTATCATCTATCAGTTATTAGGTAAGTTGTCAAGCTTCTGTGGACTTTGCATACTCTAAACATCAGAATCCGTAGCAATTCGCTTAGAGCAACCGTAACGTTGCGGACAAAAGAAACACGCCAAACCGGTACTGTTAAACTGACATGTCAGTAACAATTATTCCTCAGCTACTGTGAATATATAGATGTAGAACCTGATGAAGAGATCTAAAAGAATATTCTCTGTTCATGTAAACTGGTTAGTTCACATGGTTCCACTATCATAGATGGCACTGAAGTTGAAATAAAATCGAATTTTAAATACCTTGGACTATTTATATCCTCTTATCTTTCCTGGTCTCCCCACATCACGTTAGTTCCCAGAAAGATATTTCGTCTGACGTTCTGCATAAGAAAGTTAAGACTATTTGGTATCACTCAGTCTCTAGTTTCTAAGTTTGTTAACGCGTGTGTTCTGCCTATCCTTCTTTATTGCTCCCCTGGGCTACTTAAGAAAGACTTTGTTATACTGCATAGGTCACTAAAAGCTGTGACTGTCTGGTTTCAACATAGAACTTTGCACCGATGTGCAGCAGTTCGAGTCGCCACACTCCATGTAGCACACAAAACGAGAGAAGAAAGTGAAAAGAAATGCAAAATAGACACAGTAAACAGGGTATTATAAGTCACAATGAGTAAATGCATCTGCGCCAGGCATTAAGAACGATTTGGAGTCATATCACCAATTGTCTCCACCCATTGGTTTTTACTATCCTGAGGACCCCAACCAGTCAGGAAGTATACACCTTCCTACGTGGCTGGCTTAAACTAACTGTTGTGGATTTCATTGACTGATGCAATCATGTTTTGGCTTGACCACCACTGGCTCTTTTCCAACCTGACTCTATTTCAGCTTACATTTCCTGTAAGCTGGCTGATGCGACTTCCTAAATAAGTGAAGCGGTCAACATGCTCTACCACTTCACTCTATTTCTAAGCCAGGAGTCAATGTATTCCAGTCCTCTAGCATCATCTTAAATTTAAGGTTAAATCCATTAGTAGATATATGGTGAAATTAAATAGAAACGGGGACAGTGGGCATCCCTGATGGACACCACTAGTTGTCACCACTTCAGATGACAACTCGCCGTAAGCTCACCTGGCTGGCTGCATGAGTTCGAGTAGAGTGCCGTGACCAGTGCAATGTATTTTCTCGGCACTCTCTTTTCGACCAAACATCGCCAGAGTACCACTAGGTCGACAAAATCGAATGCCACCATTAGGTCAAGAAATATAACGACTGTTGGACGCCGCCGGTAATATGCCTATGTTCCAGAATCTGTCGAAGGGTGAAGATATGATTAATACACCCTCTTCCTGGTCTAGAGTCTGTCTGTTTCTCCCGTGTTTGTGCCTCCCGAGTACCACTTAGTCTGCGCATTATTAGATACCACCATATTAGTCAAGCTAATCCCCCTGTGATTATCACAAGAAGACTTGTCTCTCTTGTTTGTCGGGATTATCAATGACTTGCACCAACCTAATGGGACTTTCTCTAATTCCCAGACGCTTTCTAGTACCTCAGTTAACGCAGACAGTAAACTGTCTCCAGCGTACTTAAATACCTCTGGAGTCAATCCGTCCGGTCCTGCTGCTTGCCTCGTTTCAGACTAGTGACAGCCTTAGTAACCTCAGATAGAGATGGAGGACCTGTGTCTGTATCCCCTTTAGGGAGGTGTTGAATGTTCGGTAAGTTAAACGTGGCCGTAGGCCAATTGAATCGCTCCTCAGTGTTCTTTCCAGCGGTCTATCTTGGGAGCTAATTATGGTGCCATTTCCCTCAGAGAATGTTTTACTTATTCTTTGCCTTTCACCACCTGTTTCTCTGATAAGTCTAAATAGTTGCCTTTTCCATCTCTAACTCTTGTCACCGAACACTGTTCACGGTCGTTACGGAGGCTTCTTGTTAGTTTTCGTTTGAGCAGCTTTCGCTCCTTCTCATAATTGGAGCTCACTGGAATCAGTCTTCTTGCGTCAATCAGTTCGGATGAGGTGGTAGGAATCCAATGGCTCTTGCTAACTTTAGGTTTCAGGTTAGTAACAGCTTTTACAGCTGTGTCTACAGCTAACTGTATGTTGTGCCAGACTACCTCAGGGGAAGTCCTGCTGTCGACCTCAGATACTCGTTTCGGTATTTCTTCCTTAAATGGGGACTCAGAGTCTCGATCTAGTTGGAGACGTAACTGTTTCGTTGCCAACAATTTTTTATGTCCGTTTAATCGTAAGCCGGCAGTAGGGCGAGTGGGGTGTTGCTAACCCAACTCGTTATTACTGTTGTAGACACGCATGTAGACTCCTGCAATAAATTAGCAAATATTATCTTTAATTCGCGAAATATACCCATTAAGACATTGAAATAAGAACAAATTAGTTCAGCGAAGAGTCTCTTTTCGGCTAAGTCATTCACTTAGCTGTACAGTCGCAAATATATATACAATAATTTTGTGTATGTGTGTACATTAGGTTTGTCAAAATCAAAATCAAAATAACAGTTAGTGTGGGTTGTTGATTATATCATCAAAATAATGAAGAAGTTAAAATGTGTGATTAATAATCAAAGTTGTAACTAAGTGGGGTGAAGATTGGTAAGATGCCACCTCGAATCTCATCAGGTTGAACTGGAAGCAACTATAGAAGTCTGTGTGCTCGGACTACTAAGTACCTAAGTTGGCAGGCACATATTTTATGTGGCAAGAAAAGTGTAAGGCAGGGAACTTAATGAGGAACTCTAAGCAAACAGCTCCATTTTTTCATTGTTGTTAAAATTAATCGTTTATTCACTTTCGTTTTGAACAATATTATCGATATGAATGCTCTGTCTTAATTATCACCTCTATAATGAGAAAGTCGAATGCAACACTGTTCCACTACATGCTGAGAAATCCATACTAGTACCAAAAGTATTGTTTGGAATAAAGCTGTGATTATTATTATCAGTCTTATGAAATTCATAATGGACATCCATCATAAATTAAAACGACATCGTGAATATTTCATAGTCAGTCTACATAATTACACAATATTCTGCATGATATTTGCTAGCTAATATTACTTCTCATCAATTTAACAGGCACAGGGTACTTTTCTGGACGTGCATTTCTTAAGGAACCCAATTCCTTGTGGAGGGAACAGAAGAGCGAACTGGAATATCGTCTTCACTTTGAAAATTCAAAGTAGCTAAAATAAGGCATCATACATTGTCTGACAGTTTTTGATTATGTGATAAGATAGACATCAATAAAAAATCACTTTGAGGGGTAAAACACTTTATTGTCTTCAAGTATGCAAGTTTTGAGACAATTTTATAGAAACTGTGGAGTGATACCGTCTCGCTATAAATGTCTGCACACTGCTTAATTTAAATATCGTAGTATATCTTACAGCCTGTATAGTGTATCGTGACACATCAAAAGCAGAATTCATTTAAATTTCTTCTAAATCTACGACTTACTGGTGGCTAATTTGCCTCATTATATCTCATTAAAATGACTGTAAGCACCGTTTTTGGTCGAAGTATCAATCACTCCAGGGGCCCATATCTTACTGCACTGCATACAATGAATAACATTAAAGCTGTTTTTTCAAAAATAAAGGCTGGAAACTCGACATAAATCGTCAGTTGAATAGCTGAACAGTGGTTGCAAAAAGAGCTTGCATGTACAACCGGTTAAAGCGCAGGTGTTACTCATTGACTCAACCACCTGTGTCAAACACTGGGAGTTGTTTTAAGGCCGTCTCCACTTCTGCTTGGGTAGTTTTGTGTAGTCAGCCCGCGTAACATGTGACTTATAACCTGCTACATAAAATGTTTTAGGAACTAAGTCCTGGTGATAGCAACTTATTTTATAATCTCGTTCTTGCCAATAGTAATTCTCATAAAGTGTGTATCCCTTATTGTGAAAGTATGATAACCTAATTAAATTAAACCTTATATATGCAGGAATACATGGTGAACAATTATCATATTTTCTAGGTCAAAGAAAGAACTCTGGAGAACCTTCTGCGTGATCGAAAAATATTTGAACCTCCGCGCTTCATGAACTGCTTCGAGGCTGTGTATCAAATAGTAGAAGCTCTAAACAAAAAAAGTGAAGATCTGTTGGAATGGGCAAATCCAATAGTAAAATCTTGCATCGTCATCAGTCTTTCACGAATAGGATCTGATGATCAAAAAATTATCGTCTCAAGAATAAGCGATGTATACAAGGCTCGAATGAACTTAAATAACCCTGAAGTTATTTTTGGTGGTCCACCACACAGCATAATAATACCTGGAACAATACATCCACTAGAAGCAGAATTTCTACTGGCACGCTACCAGAACAAGGTTGAGGATCAATCTTATTTGCCAAAATTCTTTATCTTCGAAGAAGATGGTTATGTACTGCACCACTTCAAGAACCTTTTATATACACACAACAGAACAATCAATAGCATTCAACTTCGTCACAACACAATAACACACTTGTAAAAATATAAGGCAAATCCAACTATTTATTATTTTTGTTACTTATTATTAATTTGTTGCTCCACTATTCTAATCAGAGCCGTTGTCGTTTTTAGCCCTTTGACTAACGGACACACGGGGTTCTCATATTTTTATTAATTTCCACATAACAGTGAATAATTTAGTTGGTATGATTACTACTACTCTCGGACACTAGTCTTTTTAACTTATGGAAGTGGTTAACATGTTCATGAGTGTTAAGCCGCATAGTTTGCAAAACCCTAAAACAAATAAACAACATCTGAACTGCATAAATCGGTGTAACTCGTGCAGTAGAGTACCTACTCTTCATGCTGGATGCATGAGAGAACTTAAGTATTCAGCGAACATAATAATATTTACGCCATACAACGTAACCAACAAATACTTCAAAGTGTGTTGAGAATAGGCAGGCGAAAACCATGCAACTGTCCACTTGGATACCCATTGAATATATCGTACCTATCGGAATACAAAAACCAGGGAACCCCATACTACGACCGATGATAGATTCCAGGAATACCCCCACTTATGAATTGCCAAAACACAGCTCTAATATTAATGTCCCATTGGATACCGTTCAAACTCTAGACTAACCAATTCATATGAAATGAAAAAGAAACTAAATGACATTCAATTAGAAAACAATGGTTAGTTTTTTTATAACTAGTCTGTACACTAATATACCTATCAATATGGCCTTAGAAGCGGTTAAAAGAGAACTAACTTCTGATCTCCAACTTACTCATAGGACGAAGCTGCCTCAAATCTACTGTATTTAAATTCCAGGACAAAATATACAGACAAACAAAAGGTGTATCAATGGGATGGATCACCAATATCCCCTATCGTAGCAGATATATTTTTGGCACTTCGGAAAATATAGCTCTTATTACATACAATCCTACTTCAAAAATATGGTGGAAATATGTGGATGACACTTTCACAGTGTTAAAACAGAACATATCTCTAACTTCTTGACACACATAAACTCACTGGTAAAGGGAATAAAATCCACATTCGAATCGGAAAATGAACAAGGACAATTAGCTATGTTACAGTGTAAAAGAAAACGAACAGAAAGTAAACTGCACACTAGCGTTGACAAAAAGCCAACGCATTCTGCTAATGGATATTTTGACTAATTCATCTCATCCGTTACCTGTTAAAACTGACTTAGTAAAGTGTCCAACAAACCGAGCAGTAGGACTAAGTAGTACAAGAAGACCTTAATGATGAAATAAAACAGATAGAAGAGGCGTTGGTGTCAATTAACTATCCTATTGGATTCATTAAGATTAGAAAAGGTCAAAATAAAAGTAGTGTAGAAACTCATAATGATAACATAAGTAAGAGAATATAAGGCCTACAGTTTTACCATATCGGTCGGTCTTCGACATAGAACTTTGCACATATGTGCGGCAGTTTAAGTCGCCACACTCCATGTAGTACACAAAGCAAGAGAAGAAAGGCATAATATAGTGAGTAAACAGAGGTGTAAGACAAATGAATAGTAATAACGGACAACAAAACAGTTTATTTGGAAATCATAAGTCACAAGGAGTGGATGCATCTGCGCCACTGAGAACGATTTTGAGCCATGTCACCAGTTGTTTCCAACCATTGGTTTTTACTGTCCCGAGCACCCCAACCAGGAGGTCTACGCCTTCCTACGTGGCTTAAACTGACTGCTGTAGATTTCATTGACTGATGCCATGTTTTCGTTTGACCACCACTAGCTCTTTTTCAGCCTGACCTTATATCAGCTAACATTGCCCGTCGAGCAAGGCGATGACTAGGCATACGTAACACATGTCCTAACCATATAAGGAGGGGTTATCTAGGACCCCTCGTATGATTCTCAGTAAAGCAAGAATTAGAGCGGCATTTAGACGTACAAATTGACTGAGAAAAGCTCTAAGTTAAAGGACCGAGTTGGACAAAATATAACTTACAAAATACCTTGCAATGACTGTGAATTAAGTCAACTACATAGGTCAAATAACGAGGGGGGGGGGTAGTCAGATTGTGGGAACATAAGAATTTAGCTAAGGTAAGAATGGTTGACCGCTCGAAGATAGATAATTCATGGATTGCACTGCATGCATTAACGCTCAACCACACAGTAGGGTGGCAGAGGGTTAAAATTCTAAAAAGTAATATAGGTTGGTTGAATACTGGATCTTTGTTGATAGAATCGACACCCAACACGTACCACAGGAATGATCCGATCAAGTCCAGCGATGAAAAGTAATGGGATTATGTAATCGAAGTCAAGAAGTTGAATGAGTAGGTTGATATGATTATGAGCAACGATAAAATGTACTCAAACATCATCGGCTAGTACTAATGAACTACACTTTACCACATAGCACAAGTTCTGTTCTTAATATCGTGGATACCCAGAGAAGGTCAAATGTCATAAGGGCACTGCAGCACAGTTTCAATCGATTGTCAGCCCATTCTATCAGATTTCGAGTAAGCATTGTGGCTTTTTCAAACTAATTGAATCAGAAGCTGGGAAACAATAAAACTTCTTCAACATCTCTCAGAGTACACCATCCACGAGTGAAGCGGCCTGTCTTTTTTTAACTGACGTCCCGTACCACCGCTTAGTTGAATAACAGTACTATCAAAAGTGGATGTGAGGATACTGTAGGACATCAACATAGACCATGAGTCGTATAGTAAATTAGGGAATCATCCCACTACTGCAGTGTCGGATCTTTTTGTATAGCCAGCAGTAGAATTATAAACAGACACTCAACGAAAGTAGGACATGAGTCTACCGACTAGACATTACTCTTAAAATCTCCAAAGCCTGTCTGGCAGTGTGATATCTTTAAATTTTATCACTTCATTGCGATAGCCAACGAAAGGTTAAACACCCATGACATAGATCATGCTTTACCTGATGTACTCGCCCGTGTTTAAAACTTTTCCATAGCTTTGCTGAAGATAAGGAAGTTGCGTTGTAGATACAGGAAGTCAATGACGGTACTTTTTCAGTTTTGCAGTTAAACGTAATTTGGGGTCTTGATTTAATAAAGGACGATTGGGTTGAAAACATTACCTTCCTCACACAAACAGCTGTTCTCATTCTGGTCTCAAGGAAACAAGATCCCAGCTACCACATGCTCGGCTAAAGTTATCATTTACTGCTGCTAAGTGCAAACCTTTATACACCGTTGGCACACTGTTAGATAACCTAAAACGGTACGAGTCTCCTGAGACTCAAAAGACATGAAGAACAACCCATCACCTGGTGAGACACGCCTGTGGCAACTTTTCGGGTTATGCTAAGGAGACCATTGGGTTGTTTCACGGAACAATGTCAAACTGTAAAAACAATAAAACTAGTTTTGCAGGGAAATAACGCTGTATCACTAGGGGTAGGATGAAGAGTGAAGCAAAAGCATGATACATCACACTTGGGCCATTTCTTTCAGTCGATTCACCCTAGGAAAATTTCAACTCGAGTTCCCTACGACCAAAAACGTATTGGTTCGCATACCGACCAACATTTGAATGCACGCAACACGCATCGGCTGGAACACGTGCGCTCAGCCTGAAAACGATATACACATGCTTATCAGTATTCAGATTTTGCGTTATGATGTAATATCCAGACGCTATCAATAGTGAGCATGAATAACCAATGTACTCAACACCTTTCAACCTTAAATGTTCACATGACGAGACTTATGGTGTCTATTATTTGTTGATAATGCTGCCTTACGAAAACAATGGTAAGTTGTTTTCTTTAAATTGAATGCTGTAATGAACGCTTCTTGATCATCTACTGCTTGTTCCGCGCAGTCAAGCTAAAAGACAAAGCTCTTTATTCGCATTTGTATTGTTGCAAAAATGTACAATAGATTTATCACAAGAAATTATCAAGAACAGTTATACCAAACATTTCAGATGAATTTCACGCAATCGTTCACTGTGAAGCTTTCAACCAGTCGACTTACTACACGACTTCAGTTTGGTCTCACATTTAAAGACACTGAGGGAAAAAGCGTTCGGAAATGCAAGATAATACTTGAACACCCAAAACTGTATCTTAACAAAATAAGGGAGAAAATTTGTGCTGCTTATCTGAACAAATGCGACTTTTTAAGAATTACATTTAGGGAAGAAATGAATCAACTCAACAGAAATGCATATGGCATTAGATAAAACTTTACTTAACAAATGATGAACGACTTTTAACTTGCCTTAAAGTAAGAGTCTGACACTATCCAAGCATAAAATGATCGGTAGTCGCTGGAAGATTCACAGTATATTGCTATTTCAAAACGCAGGAGAAGCTAAACTGTCAAGCCAAGTAGGACAAGGAGAAGCAGACTAAATCAACATGTCCAACGTATTCCCACTACAGACAAAAATTAAGTAGGTTATCTGGGACCCCTCGTATGATTCTCAGTAAAGCAAGAATTAGAGCGGCATTTAGACGTACAAATTGACTGAGAAAAGCTCTAAGTTAAAGGACCGAGTTGGACAAAATATAATTTACAAAATACCTTGCAATGACTGTGAATTAAGTCAACTACATAGGTCAAATAACGAGGGGGGGGGTAGTCAGATTGTGGGAACATAAGAATTTAGCTAAGGTAAGAATGGTTGACCGCTCGAAGATAGATAATTCATGGATTGCACTGCATGCATTAACGCTCAACCACACAGTAGGGTGGCAGAGGGTTAAAATTCTAAAAAGTAATATAGGTTGGTTGAATACTGGATCTTTGTTGATAGAATCGACACCCAACACGTACCGCAGGAATGATCCGATCAAGTCCAGCGATGAAAAGTAATGGGATTATGTAATCGAAGTCAAGAAGTTGAATGAGTAGGTTGATATGATTATGAGCAACGATAAAATGTACTCAAACATCATCGGCTAGTACTAATGAACTACACTTTACCACATAGCACAAGTTCTGTTCTTAATATCGTGGATACCCAGAGAAGGTCAAATGTCATAAGGGCACTGCAGCACAGTTTCAATCGATTGTCAGCCCATTCTATCAGATTTCGAGTAAGCATTGTGGCTTTTTCAAACTAATTGAATCAGAAGCTGGGAAACAATAAAACTTCTTCAACATCTCTCAGAGTACACCATCCACGAGTGAAGCGGCCTGTCTTTTTTTAACTGACGTCCCGTACCACCGCTTAGTTGAATAACAGTACTATCAAAAGTGGATGTGAGGATACTGTAGGACATCAACATAGACCATGAGTCGTATAGTAAATTAGGGAATCATCCCACTACTGCAGTGTCGGATCTTTTTGTATAGCCAGCAGTAGAATTATAAACAGACACTCAACGAAAGTAGGACATGAGTCTACCGACTAGACATTACTCTTAAAATCTCCAAAGCCTGTCTGGCAGTGTGATATCTTTAAATTTTATCACTTC